CCATTTCATTAGCTGTTGTTACCCACGAGTTAACAGGGTCCTTCTTCAGGCTCTTCGGGAGGTGACGTTGCAGACGCCACTCAGTTCTGATCATTTCAGGTGGGTATTCGGCTTTTTTCTCGGTTAGGGCTCCTGCCTTCTGAGGTCCAATTCATCCGACGGCTCGAGCGGCTCAAGCCTACACAAATAACATTCACAACGGGATGCATTGCTCGACCTATCTGATTCCGCTACCACTCATCTACCTCATTATGCCGGGGTGCACTTGGCTCCCTCCCTTGTTCTGGTTGACTGCAAGCCTGTACGAATGGGTCAGATTAGCGATGGTCAAGTTTTCGTCGATCCGTGAGTGATTCGAATAGTGTGAACTGCGTCAAACCTAATACGTGGTCAAACTGAACGCAGCTGGTTCAATAGGACCTACGATTTTGTACTCATCGATGCCAACGGTGACTCACTGCTCTATAGTGGTTGAGTTGAGTTAGGGTATCGGTTTAATTGGGAACGTTACGTTGATGTACGTCGAGAGAGCTGCGTCTTCATTCAGTGCTGGGTAGGACCAAGTCATGGTTTTGCGCAAAAACTGAAGAAGTCGACCGTTGTCCGTTCGTTGGCAGGGCCGAGCGCAACGACCGCCTAGGTAAGTTTCCGATGCGCTCAGTATTCCAACCTGTGCATTGAAATCGCCTGCATGAACAGGTATATCGAAGCTTCGACTCAACCGAAAGAGTTCGGTAACTATGTCGTAGAACTCGTCTTTTTGTGCGTCAGAACCGCGATTAGTCGCTGCATATACCAATGTGATGAACAAATACCTTCCTTCCGGAGACTGATGAACCCCTAGAGCCGCATCACACATCGACTGTTTATGGGGATCCCATTGGTTAATGACGCCTCGGCTCTATTGTCAAGTACAATGCGTACTCCACGCTGACCTGCTGAGCAAGCTTCGTCATTGGCTGATATGCGGAGGAAGTACCTCGAAGACCAATCCGGTGCTTCTGGTACTATGATCCTGGATTCGCGTCTCGAATATACAGCAGGCATCCATCATCTCACGATCCACTGTAATCACCGAACAAGGTTGTTGACCCACTTGCATCAAAATCCTCATGGTGAAGACGTCCCAGATTCAATGATTAGCGAAGCTTCAGAATATGCAATGTATTTCACGATAAGTTACTTCCAGAACCATTTGGCAACGACCTTTTGCGAGCGGCAACCAAGTTGCTTGAGGGACTGTTACAGGTCGTAAGAAGCGACGAAGACGGAGAGTTGGACACGAAAAACAAAGAATTGGATATCTGAGCAGCAGCTCTCTTATTGCCACCCATCCCACTCGATGCAATGGTTATCAGGGTTCCGATTATCTTGCGAAAAGTCCGCTGTGATTTGGGTTTGTTTGGTTTGTGTATACGTTAGAGTTTGAATGTTTGACATCTGCCCTTGTTCTGTTTTATCTTGTTTTCAATCCATCGTGATCACATCACATGACCATGCCCTCAGGGCACACGAACAGGCAGTCAAGCCACTCCCCGCGTGATACATCAGCCTCTTATGGTCATCACTGGTTTTTTTGCAATTTGGGTTTTCAGAAATGCGTTTTACTTTGTTTTTTCTACCGCTTGCTGCAGCTTCCAGTGAGATGTGAGCTATTCGAACGAGAGACAGATAACTGATCCGGGTTTTTTTATTATACAAAACGGGAATAAATAATTTCTGTTGACAGCTTGTCAGCAATCTGAGATTGTGGGAGTACGTTATCGTACCGGCAGAATGACACCGCATTGCGCATGTCCCAAACGCAAATGTTCTGATTCGATGAACACGCAATTGGTGAACAAATGAATACCGTTTGCGTTGTATTTCAATCGTCTCCTCCCGACGGAGTGATGTTGAAAAAATGGTAGTGTTCGAACATGAAAAATTAGACCAATACCGTGGGCCATCAAGATCCGAAGTGTTATTCGCGGCCAGTGCAAAATGCCAATAATTGATATAAGCACTGACAATAATTTTGGAGGTTTCCCAGGAATTAAGCTATCTCAAAAGGCATAAAACCTTTGGCCCAGACGGGCTGTCCTTATCCGTTTTTAAGGATGGAAGTTCAGCATTGGTTTCGGAGTTAAGGAAACTCTTGGGCTCATTGTGGGAGAGGGAAGAGGTTGCAACGAAATGATGTGAATCGGTTATCATGCCGATTTACCGTTTTGTCTGCCGCACGCAAACGGTGTACGCGTAAGAACCAGGCTGGTTTTAGACATGATCGAGGTTGTATAGACCATATCGTCACTCTTCGTCAAATTCTAGAACACAGACACTCCTCTTGTAGACCCACCTCTATCTTCTTGGATCTGAAATTGGCTTTCGGCTCAGTCGACCGCTCTAAGCTCTGGCGTCGCTTTTCCCTGTAGGGTGTGCCCGAGAAGTTAATTTCACTATTACGATCGCTTTATACTGATAGCTGAAGGCGAGTCCGAGCTTACGGCACTTTTTCTTCCGAATTCACCACAGAAAGTGGTGTTTGTCAGGCTTGCCCTCTCTCTCATTTCCATTTAACTTTGTTATAGATTTGGTTATGGAAACAGCCCCATCCTTGTGCTAGGATAGTGGTATCAATTTACCTCAGGTGGCAGACTGTCTGATCTGGAGTATGCAGACGACATTGTGCTACTAAGTGAAGATGCGGATAAGTTGCAAGCATTTCTGGATAGTTTGACTGCCAGCGTAGCCATGTTTGTTATGGGTTTTGCACCTTCAAAGTGTAAAATGTTACTACAAGACTGGGTTTGTCCAGCACAGAGCCTCACTCTAACTGGGGAAGCAATAGAGCAGGTGGATAAGTTTTGCTATCTGAGCAGCTATATCACACCTGATGGACGCATGACGGATGAAGTGTCAACTCGTATACAGAAGACTCGTTTGGCATTTTCGAACTTAAGACATCTGGGACATCGTCGTGACATCTGGTTGTTTGTGAGGGGTCGAGTGTTTGATGCAGCAGTTTGTCCAGTTCTGCGTTTTGTGGAGCAGGAACTTGACCATTAAGAAAACAGTACAAAGATAGACTGTCGGTGTTTAAACACCGGTGTCCACGCACATTTTGACGTCAAGTAACACTGTTTCCGATCACTTGCATCGATGTACCTTCCTCGCAAGGATTATCCAATCAGTGAACCTTGCCGTGAACGCGTCGCACCAGGTGAAACACCGTCGACTGAACACAGCATTCCATGGTGGTTGTCCGCTGGTCCTCCCGAACATCGGTCAGCATTCAAGTGAGTACGTATCAGGATCTGCGACATATTGAGGGATGCGGCGTTGCATATCCAGAAACTGCATTATTACGCATGCTGTTTGGGTTTTCGCACAAGTAGGAGGATATTGGAAAATTCTACTTCTCAGGGGTGCGATATAGAAGATTTGATGTGCAAGGCGATGATAATGGCTAGTTTCATTAGACTCATTTAAGCCCCTTATGTGCATCCAATGTAGTCCATAGGTTGGGAAAAACGTTAATACTCAACGAGATGAAAGCAGCTCTGCAGTGCTTCCCACTTTTTCCACTTTTATTCCATTTATGCGCGACTGATTACTTTCTATAATTTGACCCCTTTGTTTACTTAACATAAGGTGCATATACGTCCTTTTTTGATCTAAAGAAGACCAATATTAAGTCGGGCATATTTTTCAATTTCTTCTTTTATTTAATCTTTTAATATTGCTGTAAAGCGTGAAGAGAACGTTCTACCTTTCGACAAATCGTTCTGATAGATAAACTGACAAAAACAGTGCTTTGTTCCCCCCTAGAATGGAACACAGCAAATTCTGACCCATAAACTACGGATTAGGTGATTCACAGTTTATTATTGATTGGTGGACATCTCTGTCACTTACCCTAACTATGAGTTGTGGTTCGCGTTGCGCAGAGAAACTACATGCCGTATTGGTGCATGGAGTTGAGGAATGTGAGAAAAGGGTGAAGACCTAGGGGCATTCTTTGACGGTTTGACTTCATTCATGTGACTTGTTGTATGCGCTTTTTACCGTCCCCTGGTTTTGCTTATCACCTAATGGTGGCCTGTCACCACACTATTTCATGATAATGTACTCGTTGTTCTGTTGTGGATCATTCCCTCGTGGTAATCGAACTGTTGAACCAAAACCTTCTTAGCCTCCTGTGTCCTGATTGGGCGCTTAATTAGTTACGTGACTGTGCTACAAAATGTCTTTATTTGATCCTCGCACTTCCTGTGCATTGTAGCGTATTTGGCGAGGAGTTAATCAACAAATTGAGCGTCCCTGAATGGAAAGAACGATTTGCCGGGATGACTGAATTGGTCGAAAAAACCAAGGCACTCGGAAGTATCACTGATTGCCCTCTTCAGGTTCTATGTCGTATCGTGCTGCGTAAACCCGGTCTGAAAGACACTAACTTTCAAGTAAGAATGTTATCATTTGTCATCGCAGTTGTAATCGTACATCAGTTTATGTCTTGAGTTATCACTGAATCAATTCAGCACGCAGTCATTGTCTAGTTAACTTTTCCCCATTGTTGCCCGAACCGTTGTCATCGCTATGTATTTCCTCTGGTGGTTGCATAGAGGCGGGGACACTTATGAAATTACCGTTGTCTCGCTCGTTAAAGATCAGCATGCACTTTAAGCCTGTTGCCGGAGATTTTCCCAATGTTTGGGTTCATCCAAGTTTGATGAGGGACCCATGCACCACCCCGTCAGAACATTAGCAATGGACCCGGTAATTCCGGTGTCCTTGGACATACGGATTAAGACCAGTAACCCTTACATAATTTACCACTCAACCAACCTCCAGGAAATGGGAACAGACGGAAATGTCAACTTTCAGCTGTGAAAAAATTGAAAATTATTAACTTTCAGGTGTGAATAACATTTTCAACTTTTAATAACTTTTAATTAGAATTAGGCAAGTCACAAGGCTTTAAGGTAAACCCAATCAAGAAGAGATGGAAGGGAATGAAGCTGCATCCAACACTTGACTGTAGTGTTGTTCGAGTGTAAGATAATTCGGGTTTTGTGAGGTGGAACCTCTGTATAGGGCTGAAACTTGCTCGTCGTAAGGAGGAAACAACCAGTGCAAACAGTAAAGTAAGTAATAGGCTGTCCTTGTTGGTGAAGAATTTACGCAGAGTATCAATAGATCACATTTTTGCGTAGTTGGTCCGGAGACTAGGATATAACGCAGAATATCAGCCGCCTAGATTGGAACTGGTGTTCGCCGAAATTGTGGTCAGACAGTGTAGGCCTGAAGTCAAACTAACTGAGTGTGAATAAGGCGGAGATGAAAAGACAGTAATCAAGTTGTGCATGTTACTGTGGGTTTTGTTCGAATCTTGAATACAACATGGAAGTAGGACTGAATTTACTCGTGTATAGGATCAATGTTATGGTTTCTTTTTTACTACGCACTTTAGTGTGATTAATTGCGGACGGGGTAAACCCCATATTCACGAGAACCTGTTGTTCATTTATGGAAACCGGTAACCTAAGCCCTGGGACTTGGCATGAAGAACCACATAAGGCCTCGCTAGGTTCGGTGTGGTATTAAACCGGACGAGACCAAAGTTGCCGCTAATACTAGTAAGAGAAATTTCTGAGAGATTGGCACTAGCAACGAACGCCTCTTTGAATTGTGATGTAATAATTTAATGAAAATTTTTGTTCTGCCTTATGACCGTCCACATGTGTGCTGACTCTGTTGGTTCTACCGATCGGTTCTCTCAGGTGTTGCGACTCCGTGTGGAACACATACAATATGCACTGGAGGCTAGTAAGTCTGCATCATCCACACTCGCCGAACTATTGGTCCCGGAGTTGTTGGAGAAAATCGGGGACGCCAAAGTGGGTGATGTGGTTCGTAGCACCCTGACCATACTGGCCGAACGTTCCAGTTACGAAATGGTCGGTCCGCAAATCTTGCAATCGGTGTTTCAGGCAAAAAATCCTAAAACTCAAGCCGACTCGCTACTCTGGTTAAACCAGTCTGTCCAGGAGTTCGGACTGAAGTAAGTTGTGCCGTATCATTAAATGGGCTCGCATCGTGTACTGTGCATAGATTATTTCCCCGCTTTTCCCGTCTCATAGTGTAATAACTCCAACAGGTGGTCTCGGTCGAGGATAGTTGTTTATTGCCAGTAACGGTCGGAATATGGTTAAAATTGTCGATCCTAACAAAATATCCCATTTGTTACAAGTTTGCAGGAATCCCACAAACACACAGGATATGTAATATAACGGTCCACTGTCAGATGCACATTGCTGTATTCACCGTACCGAATAGCAACAGTTTGCTCCACTAGGTCTTGTTCATTTTTGGTAGTCGAAAGGATCCGCTGATCGCATCTTTTTGCGTACTACTCACAAGTGAGTAGTATCTCGCAAGAGCAGTAATCCTTTTCAGGTTTCGGAACCAATCATTGTTCGATTACTGAAGCATGGTAAATTGATTCCAATGAATAATTTCCGTTTTGAATATGTTATCGATTGTTTCAGTTTTTTAGACAACTATCAGACAATCGATTTTTTTGTTTGTTTCTGAAACCACTTCTTCGTGCTCAACTTACTGACTGACCGACTGACAAGTGCAATAACTATTCGCGACACAGGTGTTCCTTGATATGTTTAATTAATTACCTGAAGTGGATTTGAATTGCAAGATAATTACGGTCACATTCGGCACTTATTCTCTGTGATTGAATTTCAGGTTAAAATTACATTTGAACAAGGTAGTACTGGAATTCTAGTTCACTGTGGCTCCCGAAATCAGTCGGTTTCAACCGCCGGATCTTCTTTGAGAGTAGACTGCCTTTTATCCACCAATTTGATTTACTTCGTCCAATCCCGTTGCGGTTTATTAACTTGTCGTGGTTATGGTAGTGGTCACCGACTGGGTTGGGCATCGAGGTATATTTAGGCACCTTGGACGTTTGACCGCGCACGCGATCTGAACTTGGATGTATATGAAAATTATGGTAATTATATAATAATTAGGTCGAATTCCTTTCCTCCTTACACATTCTCACTAACGTTGTATGCAATACGAGTTTGGCAGCGATCAGTGAAGTTCGCTATACAGTGATGATGATGTCTTTCGAGAAAACTTTTCAACGCTGATTAAAGCGATCCACCACGATGACGTTTTTGGGGGAAGTATTACTTGACTACGACTACCTTTTCTCTTCATAGATGTTACGGTGAACATTTGGTTTGTGTCAAGATCCCAAGTCCTGATAAATAATTCGGTTCTTGTCTACCCTCTCGATCTTCTCAAGATATCTCATTTTTTCATACATTGAAATTGCTATTACTGCTTTTTCACGAAATTATATGTACTATGTTCACCGGATGTTTGACGTCTGAGACATTCTGTAGGGGTGCATTAGGCGCGATTTTTTCTTTCATCAGCCATTGTTGTATCCCAATGATGATCTCTATCACGTGATTTTAACACTTCTACAGACTTCGTCCACAGGATCTCATAACTACCATTCGGACTGGATTAAATGCAACAAACCCTGCCGTGCGACAAGCCAGTCTCACATTGGCTAGCACTGTTCACTTGTTCATGGGTGATGCATTGCGCAACTTGTTCGCGGACGAAAAACCAGCCGTCGTGGCTCTACTGTCCGCAGAGTTTGACAAAAATGCTGGCCAAAAGGCCCCGGTTCCAACTCGTGGTGTCCGAACCACTAAGCCATCGACAGCTGCTGAAGATGGCGAGGAAGATGAGACAGAGGCTGCTGTCACTGAAGTTCAGGAGATCGATACAGAAGCTCTCCTTCCTCGGGTGGACATTCGGTAAGCATCAATTTCAGCTTGTGTGACGCATTCGTCGAGTTTCGTAAGTTTTGGCCCAACCCCACTCTCCCCCGTTGATTCAGTTCCATTATCACAGCATGTTTTTGTGATTCATTCGATTCTAAGCTTGTGACACGGTTGTACGAAACTAGTACCTCATGTGTTCACATCTTCCTGTTTTCAGTGATCAAATTACACCAGATATGCTGACACTGCTCTCCAGTAAGGCATGGAAAGAACGACAAGAAGGTCTGACCGGAATACAAAACGTGCTTAGCGCAGCCAAGCATATCGAGGGTGGAAATGGTGGACTCCAGGAACCGTTAACCGCTGTGGCCAAGGTTTGTGGAGACGTGAATAAGAATCTGTGCAAGATTGCGCTTCAATTACTTACGGATTTTGCGAAAGCTCTACCGAAAGCGGATGCGGCTAAATATGTCAGGTAGGTGATTTCTTTAGGGATGGTCATGATGCTATCTATGGTTTTGAACTGACATTTCTGAGTTCTGTAGCTCTCTCTGACAAGCTTCTGACCTGAGTGAGGTCCATGATTCCAGCTCTCCCCTCCAAATCGGTTAAGCTGGTAAGCTGGTCCGCTGCTGACCGGCTTGAGACTATCTTACGTATCTTACGCTTCTCCAACCAAGTCCATTGTTTTGACGGACCTATTTTACAAACACCAAGCAAATCCCTTAAACTATGCAGTTTCCTGTATGGAAATCATCTAGGCGTCATACGACCAAGTGTATTCATCGCCCTACTTTTTATTTTCGTGATCTGTATTTAAAAAAATATTTTTGTGGATCTAGTAGACAAAATGTCAGATCAGTTTACACGAAGAATGTGTTGACACCACCTTCAACTCGTTGTTTGCCTCACAAACGTCGTCATTTTAGCTTTTGTCAAACATTTGCCACAACGTCAAAGCACAAAATTAATCAGCACAGGGAGGAGATAAATACGACTTTTTAATCACACTCTGTCTGAAATTTACACAACAATGCGCCATGTGCGTTGATGTGAAGGGACCTAAAGCAGTGACAGACGATGTTGAAAAATCCGTGATTTTGGTCGTGTTATTGTCACATCTGGGTTATTCAGACCTTTTAAGGTCCACCACTACTCACTGCCTTCTCGTGGTGGAAGTGTTTTCCCACCCAAGGAGAGAACGGAAAGCCGACATACGGGGCTATAATCGGGTTGGTGGACCACTAGTAGTTCACCTAGGGGAGTTGGCCAACAACCCTGATTCCAAATCAACCACAAGGAGGCGTACGAACCAAACGCACACATTTCGGTTGTGGCAGTGGTCACCGGCTCGACTTGGCATCGAGCTGTGCACCTTGGACTTTGACTCCATCCAAATGGCGCATGATCCTACGAACTGGACACCGGCTACCGGCGGTTTTTAAACACCGCCCCACTGTCTTGCTGGTCAGGCTCTGGTTAACCAAAGGCTTCGGTTGTGGATTCCTCAAGCAAATTCACCTGCCTAGGCCTGGGAAACCTGACAGTAGTCCGTCCACGTGCAACTCATGGAACGTTTTTTTCATAAAGACTATTGTACTATGATTTGTTTGGCACACAGTCTGGATTCAGACGTGTGTGAAAATATATAAAATATATATAAGGTCCGCCACTAAATTCACTCGCTTAGGTTACCTTCTATCATGACTAAACAGAGGGTCCAGGCGGCCACTAGGTTTACATTTTCGACTGTGATAGGCAGTAAAATTTGATTCTTCCCCCCTCATCAATCCAGGTTAGTCTTTTGTCTATTGATCATATCCCTCGTGCTTTGTCTGTTGTATGAATCCGGTTTCCCGGTTCTCTTTTGCACAGATTTGTTGAGCCGCCTATGCTCCTTTGCTTGGGTGATTCGAAACCACAAATTCGCGAGGCTGCAAATAGTGCTCTCACAGCTTGGCAGTCACGTGTTCCTTTTGCCACTATGATAGAACCGGAAGTAATCGGAGATGCTCTTAAGGTGAGACTCACTTCTTCCTAGTTGCTCTCTACTTGCTTTATACTGAGTAGCTAAATTTCAAAGCAACCTCTTCCTTTTCTGCCTGAGTGTATGACGCAAAACTGCCGAAGGGGACTTTCAATTCCCACTGCTTATTGTTGTGATGTTTAATCCGTGCTTTTTGTATTAAACTTTTCAAGGTAGAAAACGCTTTCTTACGTACTGAGTTCCTTCGTTGGCTGTCTGGTGGCTTCTCCGAACTACCAGCCAATCATCAACGTCGGCTTCCCTCTGACTTGACTCCGACGCTGATGCCCTACGTGTTTGCCACATTGGAGGACCGTAATCCTGACGCACGTAAACAAGCTCAAGCGATTCTACCGCAGCTGATTCGTGTCCTCGGTTGGGAAGGCGTGGCCAAGTTGGCGAACAAACTTAAAGCGACCTCGAAGGACGCAGTGATGCCTCACTTGGAAAAAGCCCGTGAGGCTGTCGCAGCCATGGCACCACCACCAACAACACAGACTTCTCGAAAGGAAACGGCACCGAAAGCCATTCGCGGCGGTGCACCGAAAGCAGCAGAAGTGGCTGAGACACCAACTCCATCCGGTGAGAATGACGCTCCGCCGTGCGTGTTCATTATGGTTTTGTTGTTCTGAATAATCATCTGTCGCTGCCACTTTGAACGCTAACTTCTCTCACTGTATCCCTAGAGATATGCTTGTGTTCAATGTTTGTTTATACGCACGAAGAATTCCCAGTTGGTTTCATTCAAGATGTTGGTGTCGGCGCTTATTTCAACGTTTTACAATGAATTGTGTTGTATTGTATTGAAACTTTAGCGAGTTATATGCAAGCTTTCCGTCAAAAGTTCACTATCGTCGAAAAGGTGAGTAAAGTGTGACGTGAAACGTGCAAATAGAAATCGGCCTTAAGCAAACCAGGGAAAATTACACGGGAGCAGTAAAACGTTATAGGGAGGACACGTTGTTGAACAAAAACGTTTATCACCGACAAATCAGAACAGAAGTAGCGCAATCTTATCTGAAAGGAGAGAACTTTCAGCGTTTGAGCAACAGTTTGGGTATATGAAGACCAGCGAAAGTGTGACACCCAAGTACTTCAGATGGCTGACCCTGCTCATCAGCTTCCCCTGAATCTGTAGTGTCGGAGGGAGATTAGGACCGGTTTAAAGTAAAAATACATTCCAGGCATTTTTCCGGATTAAGAGGAAGACCGGATGCAGTGGAATTCGAAACAACGTGGGATAACTGTTATATTCAACGATTTTTGATTGGTTAAATACGGAAACAGAAATGATATCATCAGCATATTTAAAATGTCGTACAGGGAGAGTAATAGGCAAATCACTGATATAAGTCGCAAAAAGATGAGGTGATAAGACACCACCTTGAAGTACACCAGAGCTCTTGAGTGATACCGTTGACTGTCTTCTTCCTAATTTCACCTACTGTTACTTTTACGAAAAGTAATCATCAAGCTATACAAAAAGAGAAGCGGGGGCAGCCGAACGATTGGAGCCTGTGAAGTAAAAGCGGACGGGACACCGAGTCAAAAGTGGAAGAATAATCAAAAACTACGCATATTTGGTTTTCTCGTTAAAGAACTTACAAATGAAATGAACTAAAGAAGAAATGGCATCCAATGTA